GAAAACATTGGGCGCCCAGGCAATCTTGCATCAAGGTTGGTATCGCGGCAAATCCCCAAAACCCTGAACCCTAAACCCAAACAGCGCGTGAACGTCCCTCAGTCTCCCTGTCCGTATCTGTATGTCTGCCCATGAGATATCTGGATCACTAACCCATCCGACACCTTTCCCGAGTTGAAGAGCCCAAAACACTTCTAGTACCCCTCAACTGTAAGCCTTAAACTTAGTGCGAATTTTAGGGGAGGGGTGGTCAGGGTGCTCGCTGGTGCTTCTCATTAAACCCTAAATCCTAAACCCTAAAGCCTGAACCCTAAACCCTAAACCCTAAACCCTAAACCCAAACCCTAAACCCTAAACCCTAGGAGGTGCTTTTTTTTTTGGGGGAGGGGGGGGGGGTGGGGGGGTCCTTTAACATCCCCCAGCCCCATGGACTCCCCAAGGCCGACGCCAGTCCCATGGACTCCCCGTTATCGGACGCGAAGCGGCTTCTGCGGTAGGGTTGGGAGGGTTAGGGGTTTAGGGTTAAGGGTTTAGGGTTTGGGGTTTAGGGTTTAGGGTTTAGGGTTTAGGGTTTGGGGTTTAGGGTGTAGGGTTTAGGGTGTACGGTTTAGGGCTTGGGGTTTAAGGGGAGGGGTTTCGGGATGGGGGGTGAAGCTTACAGGGCTTTTGCAAACACGAAACCCGAAATAGAACAACCATGGAAAGAGCCGAAGCCCGAAGCTGGAAGCCCGAATCAGGGGTTCCCCTACTACCCCCCTCTATACTCCCAGGTTTCCCCTTGAAATAATCTAAATAGCCTTAGTCATGGGGGGAACCTGCGGGGGTAGTATAAAGGGGGGTTGAAGGGGAACCCCTGACCGACAGACCGACACCAACACGGCTTGGCAAAGGCAAAACAAGCCACGCCTCGACAGTGACTCAAGCTCGGTTCCCAGGCGGCTCCTGTCAAAACCCTAAACCCTAAACCCTAAACCCTAAACCCTAAACCCTAAACCCTAAACCCTAAACCCTAAACCCTAAACCCTAAACCCTAAGCCCTAAACCCTAAACCCTAAACCCCAAACCCTAAACCCAAGCCCTCGTTTTACGGAGATGACCATGTCATGGGGTGTCCAAGACTCGGCATTCAAGTCCTTAACCCTAGGATGGCCCTTGAAACACTCAGTCTAGGGTTGGGGTTTAGGGTTTAGGGTTTGGGGTTTAGGGTTTAGGTTTAGGGTTTAGGGTTCAGGGTTAAGTTTAGGGTTTAGGATTTAGGGTTTAGGGAAATACTCCTGCATGTGATCCTCTCAAACCCAGTGACAGTGAGGGGAAATATAAAACATCCCATAGTACCTTGAGGAACTGAGGGCAAACATAAACCACCCGTCTGATTGTTCAGAAACTCCAACACCTTCGGGCCTTAGGGTTTAGGGTTTAGGGTTTAGGGTTTGGGGTTTAAGGTTTGGTTGCTTCGGGTTTACGATGCTTAGGGTTTCGGGCTTGCTGTTTAAGGTTGAAGCTTCGGGCGTAGGGGGCTCTAAGAGTCCTTCCTTGAGCGGTATGGGAGTCTGTGGGTATGCAACAAATCGTTATCTTACTGGCTAGAGGGCTCTCTAATGGATTTGGACTTGGCGGCCGAAAGCCTTCTTAAACATCTTTCTTTTTGGGAGGGTACGACCAGTCTACCAGAAGTGGGCAGTTACACTGCGGTCCTGAGTTGAGATGTCAAGAAGGATCTACGGATCACTTGGGTAGAGTCGAGGGAACAGGGTTTAGGACTTGGGGTTGAGCGCGCTTTCTCAATGCCGCACTTAGAACTTCGAACCCCGGTAAAGAGAGTTTGTGCTGTTGCTTCTTTAGGCGGTGTAGGGTCTTGGGGTTCTGATGTTCAAGCACTCCTTGCGAAGCCAAGTTAGAGAACAAACCCCCCATGTCGCGCATTCGGCAGCTAGGGGCGCCTCGCTGCAAGGCGATCTGCCTCTGCCTTGTTCAGACCCTTTGCGGCCCTAAACCCCAAGCCCTAGACCCTAAACCCTAAACCTTAAACCCTAAACCCAGAACCCTAAACCCTAAACCCTAAACCCTAAAGGTGATGGGACTATGAACCGCTGAAGACGAGGTGTCAAGATACCCGCCGTACTCAGTCCATGTGTATGTGTATGCTGCAAGGGTAGCGCCTTCTGGACTGACTCCCCTAATTGCGCACGACTGCTATGGCCTTAGGGAAGGCCTAAGCCCAAAGGGCCAGGTACCTTTGCAACTCGGCCAGTGCAAATCTTTGGGGGTTTGGGGTCAACTACTACCCAACGACATACCCCCCACAGACTCAAGGGGTGGGATTCACGGGGTGTCCAGCCGATTTCTTAGGGTAAGCGGGAACGACGGAGCTTTCGTGCGGGAGGTCCAACATTGCCACGAAACGCGAATTCCGCTTCATTGACTGGCTGCACCCGTACAGCCCTAAATAAAAAGCATCACGAAACCCTGAAACCCTGAAGCGCACACACAACCCTAAACCCTAAACCCTAAACCCTATAAACACTAACACAACACAGAAAAAACAGCAATGCGCCTGCGCCTCGAGCTCCAACTGCTGCTGCCGTGCTGGGACAGAGGCAGGCAAGACAAACGGCCCAGGGTTTAGGGTTTAGGGTTTAGGGTTTAGGGTATAGGGTTTGGGGTTTAGGGTTTGGGGTTTAGGGTTTGGGGTTTAGGGTTTGGGGTTTAGGGTTTGAAAGGTTTAGGGTTTAGGTTTGAAAGGTTTAGGGTTTCGGGTTTAGGTTTTAGGGTTGAAGGGCGTAGGGTTGAGGGCGTCGGGTCCCCAAGCCGCCCTGTTTGAGGGTTGGGAGTTGAGGGTTGAGAGTTCAGGGTCGAGAAATGAGGGCTGAGGGCGTAGTATTCAGGGGTTGAGGGTTGAAAGTTCAGGGTTGGGGATGTAGTATTCAGGGGCGGAGGGTTGAGAAATGAGGGTTGAGAGTGAAGTATTCAGGGGTTAAGGGTAGAGAAATGAGGGTTGAGGGTGAAGTATTCAGGGGTTGAGGGTTGACGGTTGCAGGATGTAAGATTGAAGCTTCGAAGTTCTTTACACTCAGGGAGGCTGAACAGGCTGGGGCATTTGGGTTTGGGGTTCAGGGGTTGGCCCTTTCGATGTACCCACCTTTTTCTAGAGTTCAGGATGTAGGGTTTAGGGTTTAGGATATAGGGTTTAGGGTTTGGCGTTTCCGGCGAGGGATCCTTCGCCGTACAGGCCTGAGGGTTTAGCGCTCAGGGATTCATGACTGGGCAACTTCCGAACGACAAACGCCCACATAACCCTAAACCCTAAACCCTAAACCCTAAACCCTAAACCCTAAACCCTAAACCCTACCCTTGCCACACCCCCCCCGCAGCACAGCGCAGCCTTCGCGTTGGACCCGGCTGCTGTGGTTGTACACAGCCTCGGTTCGCAAGGCGGGCCCGTTTCTCGCTCATTTTTTATTAAGACTAGGGTTTAGGGTTTAGGGTTTAGGGTTCAGGGTTCAGGGTTTAGGGTTTAGGGTTTAGGGTTTATAGGGCTTGGTAAAGGAGAAAACTGCTTAGCAGCAGGAACGGGCTGCGGAAACTTATGTCCCCTAAAGGGCCAGGTATGGGAAAGAGGGTGATGGGATATAGGGCTGCGCCCTAAACCCTAAACCCTAAACCCTAAACCCTAAACCCTAAACCCTAAACCCTAAACCCTAAACCCTAAACCCTAAACCCTAAACCCTAAACCCTAAACCCCACAGCATCGCAGCTCCAAGGCCGAAAAAAGAGACAGCGTGCCCTGTGCCCACACTCAGAAGCTTCCCTGGAGGGTGTAGGGTGGAAGGTTAAATATAGGGTTTAGGGTCTTCATTAGAGGTTTTACTGTGTGGTTTCATGTTTAGGGTATATGTAGGGCTTAGGGTTTAACTAGGGTTTAGGGACGACCTGGCCTATGTAAACCCAACAGCCCCGCACCCTAAATGTCCTAGAACACCCCCTGAGGAGCGCAAAGCGAGAAGCACTGCTGAATGTAAATGGGCGGTTTTCCAATTTAGGGTTCCTTCTGACAAGAGTGCCGAATTAAATAGGGGACCCACACAGGGACCCTAAACCCTAAACCCCTACACAGGGGAGCCTTAATTTCGAGCATCACCCAAATTGCTCTTTGGGGCTCGGGCGAAGAAAGCATCCCGGATGCGGCAGAAGAGGACCCGGCGCGGGATGACATCCAACCTGGTGTGCGCAGGGGGTTTAAGTAAAATGCAATTATACTATGAGGGCGTAGGGTTTAGGGTTTAGGGTTTGATCTGCAAAACTCTCCATTCGGATGGCCCCACAACCCAAAAAACAAAACCTGAGAACCCTTAAGCCCTTAAACCCCTAAACCCTAGACCCTTAACCCTGTATTAAACCAAGGTCCACAAAGCGCTGAGTCCTGTAAGTTGATCGGCAGGTGGTCAGGGTTTTTGCGCCCGGAGGCAAGGTTTGTGGTTTAGGGTTCTGGGTTCAGGGTGCAGGGTTTAGGGTTTAGGGCTATTTTGAGCCTAAGGGTTCGGCGGATTTGTGCAACAGGGACCCAGAAAAGGACCCTCAGAACTTACAGACCGGTGACCATCGTGCAGCCCGCCCCTTTTCCTTGGCAGCGCTTTTTTGTCCACCGAAGTAGACTGCAAGCTGGAAGCGTACATGGCATGACACGGCACGGCCGAGACCCCAGAGATAGCTTGTCGGAAGATGCTTTCTGCGATCTCCGCCGGCTCTCTCAGCTTGCAGCGGCACGCTGCATACTGCGTCGGATTAAGGCTCTAAGACACCTTGAAATGCACGACCATTTCTGGATAGGCCTGAGCTCCATTAAAAATAACGAACTCTCGATGTACCTGCCGTGACCGATGGTAGTAATCCGTAGGCGTCCCTGGCTGAGCGATCACAGAATGAAACCGACCTAAACCCTAAACCCTAAACCCTAAACCCTAAACCCTAAACCCTAAACCCTAAACCCTAAACCCTAAACCCTAAACCCTAACCGCAGGCTCCACTTTCATACTTCTCAGAGGCCCTTGCGCATGCTTGGCGTGCCCAAGGATCGCGCGAGCAATTATGAAGCAGCCTTCCCCTGAGCTGTTTCTGGGTGACTTTACAGCCCCCGAATACTGAAGAGCTTTGCAACTTTGATCTGTGAAGTAGACTCCTTGGCCATACAGCCCTCTTTCATGTGCAAGGCGCTCATCAAACCCAAAACTCGCAATGTCCTCTGTCTTGTCCAGCGTGGTGCCGTGGATGACCAGAACCTCATTGATCCTTGCATCCAGATGCGCCCAGCTGCACACTTCCGCCGGCAAGGTGCTGGTCACAGTGGGGACGTTTTCGCGGCCCTCCAACTCTTTACGCACTTGGTCCTTACGGAACTCGTAATCCTTCCAGATGTTGATGTTGCAGACTTGGTGGAGGGCAACGACCCTGAAATGGCTCATGCGCACGCAATCTGCGAGGTGGTCTGGAGGCCATGCCCCAAGCACAGCCTCCTGGATCTTTGAGAAAGCTGCATCCCAGTGATTCAGCCGTGCGCACATCTTTGCCTGTAGCTGGCGGCTCGTCCGCCAAGCTTCTTGCAACAACATCTGCGTGGCATGGTCTGCTTGTGACCTCAGGAGTCACACACGCAAACAATTTACGACTTAGGAACGCCGAAGCAAACACATGCAGCCGAAGAGAGCCAAGACTGGGAACTGAGCAAGTCTTACTGTGGTCATCTCGCGCAAGCAAGATGCTTCGCAAGGAACCCTGAATCATGAGCCCTGAACCACAAGCTAACCCCAAACCCTAAACCCTAAACCCCGAATCATGAGCCCTGAACCACAATTTGACATCCGGGAGCTCCAGCTGCGCCACTTTGGCGAGTAGCTCCTCTTTCTCTCGCAGCAGGAGCTGCTTTTCTGATTGCCTGAGTGGCTGAGTTCATAGGGTTTAGGGCTTAGGGTTTAGGGTTTAGGGTTTAGGGTAAAGTGTACACTTTCAGTTCTATAGGGGATTGATTAAAGTATCCCAAAAAGTGTAAAGTGTACTCATTCAGCTACGAAGTTGCAGCTGCTCCACTTGAGCAGCCTTCGCCTCTAGTGGTGTTGCGTCCGATCTTGCCTCGCCCCTCCTGATGTCCCGTACACGGCCGGTTCTGAGATTGCACTGGACCATGGAATAGCTATCGATGGCATAAGCAAAGCCGTTCGATCGGACGTAGAAGACGTCAGGCAGATTGACATCAAGATCCCAGCCCTCTGCCCACCGCTTCTCAAGCATGTCATTCATTCCCCTTTTCATTGGCTGCCAGTTTTCCTTCTTCCCATCTCCGCTGGCCAAAAACTCCCATCGAAGCTCAAAGTCAAAGCCTGTGCACTCATCGGCTGTGTGAAGCGTTTGGATGGTTAGAAGCATGTCCACCCCACCATCATGAGGCACGCACCATCCAGATTCGGGCACGGTCAAGTCACCCGGACTACGGTTGGAGGGGTTGAAGGCACATACTGTCATATCCCCTTCTCTGGGCCCGATCCACCAGCCGTGGTTCACTTCTCCATCGCGGTCATCCCAGAAGTAGATCACCATGGATTGGCTCGACAAGCCCAAATCATCCAAGCCTTCCTTCTTGTAGAGTGGCTTACCATGATGCAAGCCGTTCAGGGCGTACTCCCCCCTGATCAAGTCAGAAATGTGCGGGTTCGCGATGCCACCCGAAGCATAAAGTGCAGGCGCTGACGCTGCTGGTCCAGTGCCACGACTCAACCATGCGGCCATGTCTCTCTCCGAGAGCTGACATAAGGATGTCGGGCGGATCTGCTGCGCAAAGGTACGATGCCAGACATGCAAGTTCTCGTCGACCTTGACATGTAGTTCCGAGTATAGTTCCCTGCTTAGTGTACCGAGCCGTTTCTATCAATTTCTCACATTTTTTAGCTCGCCATGTACATGTGTAGCCCCCCCCCCCCTGCCCCTCTGAACAAGGAGGAACTTAACATAGGCTCAACACCTAAACCCTAGAGGGTATATAGGCTGACCCTTACATCCACTGCCGTGCCAAGTCGTGGTCACGTCATTGATCTGAGCGCTTAGGGTTCGGGATTATGGTTTATTCGGGCTGAAGGCTTCAGGATTGGCAGGGTTTCCACCGCTTGAGAGGTCCCACTAATTAACCTGCTGTTTGCTTAAGAAGCCCCCCGCGAAACGAAACCATTCTTCCACATAAGGGCAGTATAGGGATGATTGGCAGCGCAGTAGCCATCCTATACTAGGGGTACCCTTTTTTGGTTGGTTACTTTCAAGGGAACCCAGAACCAAAACAAGGTTAAAGGGTACCACGGGTCTACCAGGCTTTTGGGAGTTCTTACGCAAGTAGTAGCAACTAAGCCTTCACCAAGTATATGCGACCTGTGGACATCATGACCTCACCCTCATACCCTACACCATAAACGTGCTGGTTCACACCCTATATATCTCGCTATACGTACATATAGATATGTATATACATATATACTCATTCATTGATATGTACGCTTTCAGGGATTATAAAGGGTACCTCATTCCTTATTCCGCAAGAGCCAGTAGGCAGATGCCTAAAGACCCTGACGCCTACTTCTAGACCCAAAAGCAACTTGGGAATACAAAGGGTGGCCTTGTGGTCCCTAAACCCGAAACCCTAACCCTAAAAACTAAAAACCCTAAACCCTAAACCCTAAACCCTAAACCCTAAACCCTAAACCCCAAACCCTAAACCCTAAACCCAGTCTGGCTTCAGGGGAAAAAAAGGCCTACTCTGGGTCCTAGACTTGTCACACTGGGCTTCCCGGCATCCAGGCATTCTCCAGGGACTTCAGGTGCCTGGGGAGCTTGCGGGTCTGGGGAGTTTCTTAGCAGGTTTAGGGTTTAGGGTTTAGGGTTTAGGGTTTAGGGTTTAGGGTTTAGGGTTTAGGGTTTAGGGTTTAGGGTTTAGGGGTTCGGGTTTAGGGTTTAGGGTTTAGGGTTTAGGGTTTAGGGTTTAGGGTTTAGGGGTTCGGGTTTAGGGTTTAGGGTTCAGGGTTTAGGTTTTAGGGGTTAGGGGTTAGGGTTCACTTCCTCCAATCCAAGCCAGGAGCAGAAGCCCGAGTACAACAAAGACCACCTTGAAGCTAATCAGGACGTTTCCTGGAACATGGGAGACCGGACGCAGGAGTAACCTATAGGAATGAAACGGAGCACCCTTGTTTTTGTTGCACTGTGTGTCTGAGGCCGCGGCCAGTCGACAAGCAACAATGAGTAGCCGCTTCAGGCTTCTTGTGAATACACTAGGCTGCCCAGTAACCAAGGCTAAAAGGGTGCCCATTTTTGCTTAAAGGGGTTTATAAGGGAACCTAAACCCCCCGAAAAGGGAATAATGGTACTACTGGGCATCCTAGTACAGACCAAGTACGGAAACTGATACGGCGGGATACCGTCAATACCATCGAATTTCGGGGTAGGGCACCCCTTTTGGTGTAAAGGGGATTAATTCTGATAGAACCTAAACCCTAAAAAAGAAATAAGGGCGTACTCTGGGTTTTAGGAGAGGGAGTAAACTAAGTTCCTTTTTTCGTTAAAGCAACCCCCCCCCCCACATGCGCGCTGTGCTGGCCTGCCTACCTTCGTGCCTGCTAAGACGGAGACACCTCGCTGCAGCCCAGTCACCAGGCCAACTTCTTCTTGTTGCCCGCGGATTTTCTGTCAGCAAAGGAGGATGCGTGGAGTTCGGAAATTGGGGTGGGGGGTCCTGTCCTTGGAGTCTCGGATTTTGGGGGGCGGGGGGGGTGACAGTTGAGGTGCTCCCTGTGCTCCCCAATATTAGGGCGGGGTGGGGGAGTTGGGAACGGCGGGGGGGGGGGGGGGGGGGGGGGGGAAGTTTATGGTTCAGAGTTGTTTCGGGCTTAGGGTTTCAAAGTGTGGTTTAGGGTGGAGGGTTGGGTTTGCGGTTTTCTGTGGGTTGAGGCAATACAGGCTTTGGTTTTGTTTTTTTCTTTCCCTTTTGGGGGGGGGGGGGGGGTTGGGGCCTCTTGCTTGCCAGTCTGCATATTGCGTAGCACGAGTTTCAGGCTCTGAGTTTTGGAGGGTTCGGCTGCGCCAGATTCGGGTGTAGGGCTTAGGGCTTCGGATTTGGGTGGGTTGAGGGTTTAACGTTTGAGCGCACTCAAAAGAGCAGAACACAGGCCCCTCTGCCACTCTCAAGTGCACAAGGTTTTCGGGGTCATACACATTAGGCGACCAGGGTTTAGGACATCTTGTTTCAGACATGATACTAAATTCATAAGGGCTAGAAAGAGGCAGAAGAGTGGTAAAATGTGATACGATCAACCCTACACCCTAAACCCTAAACCCTGAACCCTAAATCCCAAGCCGCGAAACAGCGCACGAAGCTGCTCGGCGCCTGCTCGTGGTCGCGGCAGCCTTCTCGTTGCTGGGGGGAGCCAGGACTTCCTGCAAATCGGTGCGATTTAGGGTTTAGGGTTTAAGGATTTAGGGTTTAGGGCTTGGGGTCTACGGTCTAGGGTTTAGGGTTTAGGGCTTGTGGTTCAGGGTTTGGGGTTTAGGGCCTAGGGTTTGGGGTTTAAAAGTTTAGCGTGTAGGGTTCAGGGTAAGTAGCAACACAAGAATACCGAGTGTCCCCTGCTTGTCCATGGGGTTCATACCACTACGGGGCATCCGACTGCAACTAGAATTTCAACCCCCCAAGGCCCTCAACCGTTTGCCCTAAACCCTACCTGGAACCGCAAACCCTACAGCCCAAACCCCCGAACCCTAAACAAACCCCAAGAGCTCATCCGGCAGTCCCAAACCCTAAACCCTAAACCCCCTAAACCCCCTAACCCCCCTAAACCCCCTAAACCCCCTAAACCCTAAACCCGAAACCCGAAACCACCACAAAACAACTACAGAACAAGAGCTCATCCGGCAGTCCTTGACGTGCCTCATCGCGGCGTGGAAACTGGGGTAGGCCTCCTCGTCTCCGTCCTGTGGGGGGCTTTTGGGGGGGATTCGGGGGCTAGGGTTTAGGGTTTAGGGTTTAGGGCTTGAGGGTTTTGGGGGGGGGGGGGGGGTCTTTAGGGGGGGGCGGGGGGTGTTGGGCTTTAGGAGCTCACAGGCTTTAGGAGCTTAGGGGCTTGAGCTTAGGGCTTAGGGCCGTTAAGTTTAAGAGTTTTTGGAGCTCGTGGCTTTAACGGCTTAGAGTTAGGGTTTCAATCTGCAGCGGCATGGCCTTCAACTCCCAAACCAGTACTCAACCTAGACCCAAGAGCAACCTAGCAATACGACAGGGTGCTTTTTTTTGGTTTAAAGGGCTTACTAGGCAACCTAAACCCTAAAAAAGGGAACATTCGTGATGGCTCCAGGGTTACGGGATTCAGCGCTTTTGGCTCGGGTTGAGGGTTTGGGGTTTTAGGATGTAGGAGTTCAGGGGTTTGGGGTTTGGGACGTCGGAGCACCGTCTTCAATCACAAGTTGCCTATCCCTGGGGATGATCCCCTTATACTAGCAGTCCTTCATGGGCCTATTAATCTTGCGGACGGTGAGTAAAAGGGGAACACCCCAAAATATCTCCTTGGTCTTCTGCGAACAAGTCTTCGAAGACAAGTCCTACGGAGAGACTTGAGCCCTTGATTGTTGCTTCCTTTTTTGAGAAAGTCCGCCACCCTCAAGACCCGAACCCTAGGCCCTAAACCCTAAGCCCTAAGCCCTAAAGCCTCAACCCTAAGCCCCCAACCCCAAGCCCTAAGCCCTGAACCCTCAACTGAGCCCTAAGCCCTATAAACCCTGAATCCGAAGCCCGAAGGCCTGACCCCCCAGGTGTTTCCGAAACCATGCCAGGCATGCCATGGTTGTCTCTTCATCACGGAAGAGGAAGATCAACAACGGGATGACCACCTCGCTCTATGCGGAGAAAATCCCCCAAAACACCTCAACTGAGTACTGCTCCCAAAACAAAATCATACCAAGCCTAACGCAGTCAATATTCCTTGATTCGGAATGATACCCTAGGATTTAGGGATGAAAATTAAGGGTGCGACATCAATTGCACGAGGAGAAGGCAAATGATTTCGGCATCGTTTTGGGGTCTTGGCTTTAGGGTGTAGGCTTTAGGGTTTCTGGTTTAGGGTTTCGGGTTCTGAGCCCTAGCCCCTAAACCCGAAACGCTGTCACTGAGCCATGGGCCCACTCACACAGGCGCGTCACCTCTTGGCCCGGGAGTTGGGTAGTTGGGTTGAAGATTCAAGGTTTAGGGTTTTTAGGGTTTCAGCTTGGAGATTTAGGCTTTAGGTTTTAGGGTTTCAGGTTTAGGGCTTTTAGGGCTTTTAGGGCTTAGTGTTGGGAGGGTTTCTCGTTTGAAAGGTTGAGGGTGTGGGGTTCAGCGGGTTTACAGAAGGCTTCGAGGGTAGGGTGTACTTGGAGGTTCATGGTACTTACTGAATTAACCACTTATAACGGTACTTCTAACTGTACTTATAAGCATATTAGGGCACTCAAGGGGCTTGTAAGTGGGTTATAAGTACAGTTATGGTTGGTTAACAAGTACCATGAACTTCCAAGTAGGGGCCCTAAACCCTAAACCCTAAACCCTAAACCCTAAACCCTAAACCCTAAACCCTTTTAAAAAGTACCATGAACTTCCAAGTAGGGTCCGAAGGTGAGGGCCTTGCCATGCGACACATTCAAGCTTCAGCCGTCGGCGGCTGAGGGCTTAGTCTCAGTTGTCCAGTACCTAGGGGAAACTAAAGGTGAACCTTTGGGATTATATA